AGGAAGTAAGTGTCACAGCGTTATATGTGTTAGATCGCTTTTGTGGTAAGAATTTCAGTTATTTTATCAATTTTTGCTCTGCTTTGAAAGCATAATTTTCCGTTTTGTTTTGGATGTTTTGTGACATGATAATATGTTATTTAAGGTGTTCAATTGGTGCATCAACTCTCAGAAGAAAGTATATATAGTTAACCGATATTGTGCTTGGATTGCCATAGAGGTGAGTGACTTTTCATCCTTGGATGAAGAATGTCATCAATTCTAAATGAGGGCTTAGTTGAGGGTAAGTCCTTAGATTAAGACCTTATGGTAAGTGTATTCTTGTTATGAACGGTATGTGCATCGTCATTAATATATGCTTTGTGAATTGTTACATTACATTTGATGCATAGCTATTTTGTATAAATATGAATCAGAATATATATTATGGATGACTTGAGCAACATACCTGTCTAAAGAGATCAGTCGAGAATATCACTATCCAATACGGGTTGATCATGACAACAAATGTGATTTTTGTTTAAAACTCCGAACCGAAAATGTTTACATAGAACTATGCATCATGTGTCAACTACTCTTGGTAAATATAGATTATTTGGCAATTGTTCTAAATATGACCTTTGGATATGAAATGCATGCCTAGGAAAGAGTACTCGAAGTTTTGTATAAGTTTGTGATAGGGAATATTTGTGGTAAGATTGGTGCGTTGAGTTTAACTTCGAGAATAATTCCATGGTAAGGTTGATACGTTGAGCATTGCTCCGAAACAGTGGTTTTGGACATAAGTGAGTCCATAAATAAAAGAGAGTTGTATTGAGTCCGTTTATCTGATGAGCAAGTTGTATTAAGAACAAGTACCAATGATTCATAAATTGAAATAATTGTTTGATTGTGTGTGTAATCTGACGGAAAGGTAAAAGTACATGTGTGTATGTGATTGTAATATTGTGTATGATGATATAAAGCATTATGTAGTATGATATTTGTGTGCATTGGAATATATTATGTGTGCATCATGACATGACATGTTGATATGATCATTGAGGTAAAAACAAGTGAGGTTTTCATGGCATTTAGGAGTGTTCTCTTTTAGACTTGATTCATGCATCACTTAGGATTGGCTATTAATCACTAAGATTCTAGCTCACACACTCGTTGTTAACATTTTACAGATAATTGAACGTTGTACGGAGAGCAGGCAGAGAGCATTCGGTGGTGATCAAACAAGAATCGGTTTTACTAAACGTATGTGAACTTATTTTGTAATTCAAGACAATATGAGATTTTATTTCGGGGTAGACTAAATGTTGAGATGTTGGTTTTGATTTGAGATTGTTATGTGACCTTGAATGATGAATTCTTGGATAAATGCATGATGTTGAACTTTGGTAATGTTGTGTGCAAAAGTGTTCCTAACGCATAGTTTGCTTTAATGTCTAATTGTTGTTATATGTCTTGGTTAGTTGCTTCATGTATTTAGATAAGTGTCAATATGTGTATGAGATATGTTAGGCTATTAGGTTACATCAGATTACCATAAATGCGTAAAATGAATATGTGACTTGTGTAAAAATTGACTTTATATCTAACATTTGACTTTCGATGCTTAATCCTTGTATGTTGTGTTAAAGATGTTATGAAGCATGTTATATATGTGTTTTAATGTGTTTTATCTGGTTTGAGTGTGGTCAAGCATGTTCATAAATTTTAGGATCGATTGTATGTTAAATTAGTGGTATGTTTTTGCATGTTCATATGCATTTTCTGTATTTTCTAGAGAAATGATCGATCTATTGACTGAAAGGATCGATTCCTTGCCTAAAGAATCAACCTAAAACTTACTATTTTGCAAAGGATCGATCATCGTGAAAAAGGATCGACCCCTTCGATGTTTTCTCGATGAAAAATGGTAAAATTTGGTCCATTAAAGGTCCTAAGCATTCTTAAGTCTTTGTTTGGCCCTAGGATGCTTATATGATTCTCAGAAATGAATCATTGATTGATACTTCATCTTTAATAGGAATTTGGTGAGACTTGATTTGTTACACTTAAATACACTGAATTACATAGTGGAACTGTCAATTGTATGTTTGTTGCTATTATGTAATTTTCTCATTGTTTACGTTTTGGTCCTAGAATTGCATGTTTAATTAGGTCCCTATTTGGTATACCTAATTTCTATTTTTATCATTGAATTGATAACGGCATGTGAAATGATAGATTTATCCTAGATTTCGTATTCTTCGCAATGCATGATCATATGTTCGTTGAGAGCCTAATTTTTATGATATTTTATTATCATGTGTTGCGTGTTGAATGATTATTCTAACCATTTCCACTAATTACGCATGATTAGGATTTTGTTTGTCCGATTTACTTTGAAATCTAATGTGCACTGAGAATATTTAGGTCATCCTACGTGATTGGGTATATGGTGTTACACATTACATTTGATGTGAACTATCTTAGTCAATTCATACAACATCCTAAGAATTCAAATTTTTGAAGCTGCAATGAGGATCGTTAGGTACTTGAAAAAGGATCTAGGTCGAGGTATATTACTGAGCAGCACGAACAAAGTTTAGGCAATAACCTACTACGATTCGAATTAGGCATCTTGTCCGGTATCTCGAAAGTCAGTGACTAGGTTCTGTACAAAATTAGGAGAGTCTTTGCTGTTTTGGAAATAAAAAAACTAGACCACCGTTGCTAGGTTCTCTGCTGAAGCAGAATACAAAAATATGGCCGTTACTGCGGCTAAGATGGTTTGATTGCGAGGGGTATTGCAAGAACTTGGAATTGACGTTTTGCAGCCAGTAAAGTTGTACAGTGACAATAAGGCTGCATTACAAATCGCACTGAATCATGTTTTCCACTAGAGAAATAAGCATATTGAGATAAACTGTCACTTTAGTAGAGAAAAAATACAAGGTGAATTAATCCAAACTGAACATGTGGCATCAACTAAACAACTAGGAGATGTATTGACTAAGGGGCTTGGAGTGCAACAACTTAACAAGCTATTATTTAAGTTGGGGATGAAGAATATCTTTCAACCTCTATCTTGAAGGGGAGCGTAGAGAGTTTGTTTAATGTACAATTATTATGTTATTGTTTTTTATTGGGAAGTTACTTAGTTAGCTTTGCTAGCTACTTGTGAACATCTTTGTATATAACATTGTTTTCTTATCAGTTGAATATATGAGAAAATATTGAAAATATGTCTCTTATTTTCTCAATAATAGTAAGAGATAAGTGTACTTAAAATCACTAAGCATCAAACACTACAATATATATATATATATATATATAAGGTACACGTACTCAGAATCACTAAGCATCGTACCACAAATAAATAAGTGCTCATATGTTACACATAGGAACATTCTTTTTAGACCAAATATCATAATAGAACTCTACAGTTACAATAACTATTCATGAGCTAGGCGCAAATCTCTCACAAACTGTCATACAACTTATCTTTTTTTTTATTAATCTCAACAGCTAATTATGTGGATACTTTGATAATTCTACTATAAGGTACTTTTGATCATTTTCACACACGCACACGTACACGTGTACGCACACACAGATAAAAACACACATAAGAATAATTTGATCATTTCAGCATATAAGGGTATTTTATTATGCTATAGATCTAGGTCTTAACATAATTAATTAGGATCATGAGTAGTTTAATAATTTACCCACCTATTGCTCGAACACCATAATGTCATCATCGACCCAATGACCGTTCTTCTGTTATTCATTTATACTTTTAGCACCTCATGATTAAATCTACCAATAGATCACCATCTGTCACAAATAAAGTAAAAAAATCTGAGTTCTCATATTTTTTTGTCTTACTTTAATGCAATCCATTATCGTTCCTTTTGTAACATTTGTCACTCTTATATTTTATCCCTTCTCTCTTAATCATTTTTGAAACCGAGCACAAGGGCTCATGTCTTGACCGATATCACATCCAATGGTTGGTACTCGAATTAGTGTTATTGCCTCCGTCATAGTCTAAAACCTTTAGTAAGGCCTCACTTTTTTTTTTTTTTTTTTGCTTCTCTTTTCCTTTTCCATTTTCCCTCATCATCCAGTGCATATTTTATCTGTTTTGTTCTGACTAGAATTACTCTCACTTGATATGTTATAATCGATTTAATCCATTATCTGAATGACCTATGACCTAACCTGTTGGCCTAATTCATCTGACTCATTGACTCGTACTCGTTTATCACTCAAGATTGATTATTGAATTTGACTGTTGACCTTAACTCTGTCTATTAATTAACTTTGATCTTCACTATTGATTTTGACTCATTTATTTTGAAATTTTAATTAATTAATTTAATTATGACCACAATAATACAAAGGCAAAATAAAAGTGACTTTTCTAATAATTTATCTTTAATATTTTTTCATATGACGAGATATGACATGGATATATTATTCTAGTGCTGATAATTTATCCTAAAATGAAACAAATCAAAGAATCATGTTGAATAAAAAAATTAAATTAAATTAAATTTTAATCGTTGAGTTTCTTTAATGAGATAGATTCTACGTTAATCAACTCATGTACATTATTTTTCTCTCCAATACATACGATCCAATTATAAAATGCACAAATTTTGGATAAAATATATCAATCTCATTCAAATAACTTTTTTGCATGTTATTACAGTTGCAACTGTTATTGTACACGATCCAATAATCAAATGCACAATCTAATATTTAAAAGAGAGAAAAAAATTATATTTTCTTATTCTCTTGATTAAAAATTAAAAAATTGGCCACTTCATGACACTTAACAAGTGTTCATTTTTAACCTTATTTTCAGTGAAACAGTTAGGAAGTTGCCCGTATTTTACAGGTGATCCATTCTTAATGCGAAAGTCCCTGTTTCAATGGACAGCCTCAATGCCTTACTACAGCATGCCCTTTAAATTCACAACTTTACTGTCATCTCTCAATCTTATTGGAAAACCAAAACCCAAAAGGGAAAAAAAGAACAACTTTCATCAACACATACAACAGTCAAAAGGACATGGATGATGCTGAGAAAACTGATCTAGATCGCATTTTCAAGCGCTTCGATACCAATGAGGATAGCAAGATCTCGTCAGCGGAGCTGGGAGAAGCATTGAAGCAACTCGGTTCGGTCACACCGGATGAAGTTACGAGGATGATGAACGAGATCGATACAGACGGTGATGGCTACATTTCCTATGAGGAGTACCTTGCTTTCGCAAATGCCAACCGTGGCCTAATGAAAGATGTTGCCAAAATATTTTAATTTTAATTTAAACTTATATATATATGTATATGGAAATCGTTCACTTATTTGTGAAACTTCATCTTTTTTTACTTGTTATCGAGAGAACTAAACAATGGAGAAGATAGTTTTGAGGTTTAAAAATAATTTCTAAATTGTTGTTGGAGGATTTAATGTTTTCATTGACATGTTTGTTATCGGGGACAGCTATGTTGTCAACAACAATGGGATTTGAGGTGAAACTTAGACGGGATATAGTTCGGGTTAGTTGTGGGTAGAGGTGAGTATTCAATCAATTCGAATTAAAATTTTTGAGTTTTCAATTGAAGTCTTATTTTATTATTCAAATTTTATTTAAAAAATTTCGAGTCGAGTCAAATTTATAAAATTTGAGTAGAGTTATTCGATTTTTTCTTTAAATTTAATTATATTTTTTACTGGATAAATTTAAACGACTTTCTTTAATCCTATATTTTTTCTCACATGTGTAGGTAAGATTTGTATTACTATTTAATAAATTAAACAACATCTAAAATTATAAATCATATCTACAATCTTATTTTTAAGAGTCAATTGCATCATATGTCCCGAAACTATAACCTCATTTTTGAATTGGTCCTTAACCTTTTGAATATTCTAATTTTTTCCCCAAACTATGAATCTCATTCTAAATGATTCCTTAAACTTTTGAAAATTCCAATCCAAACCCTAAATTATAACCCTCTTTCTAAATTGGTCCCTAAACTTTTGAATGTTCTAATTTCATCCCTAAATTCATCCAATTATGTAATTAGTTTCATTCATAGTTTAACCTAAATTTTGTTTTTCTGAAACATATAATATAACTTGGTCTAACAATTTTATTAGCAATGGATGTGATTAGTATACATATAGTTTGGGATGAAATTGGAACGTTAACAAAATTTGGGGACAAATTTAGAATGCAGGTCATAGTTTTAGGATGAAATTGAAAAGTTTAGAAGTATGAGGAATAATTTAGAATGATAGTCATAGTTTAGTGATGAAACTAGAATATTTAAAAGTTTAGGGACCAATTTGAGATGTGGGTCATACTTTGAGGACATGCGATGCAATTAACTCTACTTTTAAATAAATGATTTTTATAGGATAAATTATTTATGAGAGTATAAATAAGTCAAAAGATTTGATAAGAATAAACAAACTACGAAAAATCAACTAAAGGACCAAATTAAATAAAATAGTATATGATTTTTATAGTGTTAGTGGAGTATATGATTTAAATTTGGCTAAAAACAAACTTAAAACAAAGAAATAATTGGGAAAAAAAGAAAACCATGCAAATTAAGTAACTAAATTGAAAAAAAGGATAGATTTTCAAAGAGTAATTGAAGTTATAGATATTCTAAAGTGTCTGAGCATAAATTCAAATAACTTGAAATGAGAAGGAAATCAGGATTCAACTTTAATCTGATAAAGGACTATATTGTGAACCTCGAGAAACTAGTAATGGGGTACCAATTCATAAGGAAGATGAAATTCTTATGTTTGCATGGTAATTAAACCTTTTCCCCTTTGATCGAAGTCAATAGCTTAGGCGACTCATATATGTAAATTGGATTATTTTCCTAGTTAAGAAAAAAAATGGAAATTATGGGATTTTGAGGGGTAAATCCCACGGCTAGTGTGAGAGGAGAGAGAATGAACTTGAATCTTCTTCAACCATACTCCCAAAAACTCCATTGATACAACTTTGAACCCTAAAAGCATGCATATATTAATACAATCCAACATATTTGATTTAAGGATTGTGAAACTGTATTGATTATGAAGTATTGTCACCGTCCTTGCAGTTTTATCCTTCGAAAATAAGGGGCTCCTCCTCTAAGTGGCTGGAAGGAGTCGGTTCGAGTGTGTTTAATTTCTCAGATTGTTCTTTAGGCTCGATACGCATGCTGCCATGCTTTGATGGGGTTAAGTAGGTTTATGGTAATGTATTTATGCAATCTTCAAGTGGTAGTGTCGGCCTTTTGGGTCAGGTAGGTCGAATACCTAAAAAATATCTTTTAAAAGAGTTTTTAAGAAAACATCAATTAAAAGATAAACTGATCTGCGTTTAACCAAAAATTCGTTCTTTTTAATAATAAAGGGATTCGTGGTCGGTTACGTTAGGGAAGGATTAGCACCCCTACAACGCCCAAAATGGTACTTTTTAATTATAAATTGTCTCTATTATTAAAATTTTAAAAATTCAAAAATATATTTAATTATAATTCTATTATTTCAAAATTAAAAAATATTTTAAAAATATCAGAAAAGAACTTCTAGGTGCCTTAAGACAGCTCTTTTCTTTGATATTGATAAAATATTAATTTAAATAATATGTTTACTTTTAATTTTAAAATATCAGAATAGGACATCCAGTTGTATTAAGAGCCTTTTCTTCGATATAAAAATAAATGTTTAAAAATTACTATTTATTATATATATTATGAATATATAAAAATATTTAATAATATAATATAATAAAATAAAATAAAATACTAAAAACAATATATTTAAAAACAATAAATAAATGAAGACATATAAATAACGGACTAAATTATAGTAAAAATAAAATTAAAAATCTAATTCATAATTAATCAAAAATTATAGGGATTAAATATGTTATTTCTTTTTAATAATTTAGTGACTAAAATAAAATGATCTAAAATCGGATATTATAATAATAAATTAAAAATATAAACTAAGGATTAAAATAATTTATTAAAATTAATGGATTAAATCTGTAATTTATCCTAAATATTATTTTAATATGAAGGACTAAATAAAAGAAATTAAAATTCGAAGACTGAATTAAAAATATTATAAATTCATTTAGTGACTAAAATGTAAATTTTACAAATTATGAGGACTGCGGACAGGGTTTAACTATTTTATAATTATGCGCATAGTCCTTCCCGAAACGACGTCGTTCGGGAAGGACTATATATGGTCCAAACCGGCTGGCCCGAAGGGCCAGCCTTCATTTTTCATTTCACTCTCTCTCTAAACTGAGAGAGTTTTAAAACTCTCTGCCTTCTCTCTAGCTTCCCTCATCGGAGGGAAGCCGGTCACCGGTCGGCCACCGTGTGCCGCCGTGAATGTCACCGCCGGCCACCGCATCCGGTGGCCGGAAAAAATTATTTTTATACTAATAGATAGATCGGACCGTCCTAAGGACGGTCTCGGTGTTCTTTTCCCTTAAAAAGCTCCTAATCGGAGCGAATCTACAAAAATACCTTCGATGTTTTGAAGGTTCTGACGAGATCCGGTGGTCGAGGCTTCATCGGTAAGTCTCTTCTTTTTTTCTTTTTTTTTTCTTCTGGTTCTTTGCTGCTGAGATCGTTGGTAATAGTTTGTATCTTCTCTGTTTTTTTTTTCTGTCTCTCTCTTTTTTTTTGTCTCTCGTCCCGTTCTCTTTCTTTTTTTTCAGGTTGGGGTGGTGGCTTTTATAGCCACCACGTTGTAGCCGTCGGACCGGTCCGAAGAGGGGGTCTCGGTGAGTCACCGGACTACCAGTGGTGACTCCCCCGTAGCCGTGGCGTGGACGGCTGGCGTTGGAGCTTCTGGAGCGTTCGGTTGGGACTGGCAGCGGCGGAGGCGGCGAGATAGCACGGCGGCCGCGTGTCCCTATGGTATCAGACCTAGGGTTTCCATCTGGGCAATCTGGACCGTTGGATCGTGCCAGATCCAACGGTTGTGATGAGGCGGCTGGTTTAGATTAGGTTAGGAAACCCTAACTGGAAACCCAAATGTTTAGGGTTTCTGGTTTGATTTGGACCGGTTCTGGTTTGTTTGTAACTGGGCCGGTCCAGTTGTAATTGGTCTGTAATTATTTATTATATATATTTAATATATATTTAATAATAATAATAATAATATAATAAATAATAATAGTAATAATGATAATAATAATAATAATAATAATAATAATAATAATATTAATAATAATAATGGATAAAAAATTAATATCTTCAGCTGCCCCTCTTTGCTCATTCTTGTGTTAACAACAATAGGGCAAAGATGAAAAGATAATAAAATTTTTTATCCATTTTGACTTTACTTTGATCATGATGGAGATATTGAATAAATTCTTCTCTCCTCCAGATAAGTTCTTCTTATTATGAACTTTCTGCTGGGGATGATGATGACCTCCTTTCTGTGATAGAGTCATTCAAAAGGTTGAATAAGCTCTTGATGAGTTCTTCTCATTATGAACTTTTTCTAGAAAGGCTGATGCTAATCTATCTCCTTCTGCGATAGAATTATGCAAAAGTTGAACAAGTTCTTCTATTATGAACTTCTTCTTTCTTCTTCAGATGACGAGTTCTTCTCATTATGAACTCTACCTGGCAATGTTGATCCATCAAATGATGAATTCAAGCAAAAGGTTGAACAAATTCTTCTCATATGAACTTCTTCTTCCTTCTTCAGATGAATTCTTCTCATTATGAACTTTCTCTGGAAAGCTAATCCATCAAATGATGGATTCAGGTAAAAGGTTGAACAAATTCTTCTCATTATGAACTTCTTCTTCCTTCTTCAGATGAGTTCTTCTCATTATGAACTTTCTCTGGAAAGGCTGATGCTAATCTATCTCCTTCTGCGATAGAATTATGCAAAAAGTTGAACAAGTTCTTCTTATTATGAACTTCTTCTTTCTTCTTCAGATGATGAGTTCTTCTCATTATGAACTCTACCTGGCAATGTTGATCCATCAAATGATGAATTCAAGCAAAAGGTTGAACAAATTCTTCTCATTATGAACTTCTTCTTCCTTCTTCAGATGAATTCTTCTCATTATGAACTTTCTCTGGAAAAGCTAATCCATCAAATGATGGATTCAGGTAAAAGGTTGAACAAATTCTTCTCATTATGAACTTCTTCTTCCTTCTTCAGATGAGTTCTTCTCATTATGAACTTTCTCTGGAAAAGATAATCCATCAAATGATAGATTTGGGTAAAAGGTTGAACAAATTCTTCTCATTATGAACTTATTC